CCGGGGCCCGGCCTGGGCGGGGGCGGGGGTCCCCTCGCGCCCCTCACGGTGCTCCTGTGCCGGGTGTGCCTGGAAGACAAGCCCATCGAGCCCTTGCCCTGCTGCAAGAAGGCGGTGTGCGCCGAGTGCCTCCGAATCTACCTGAGCGCGCAGGTAGGGACCCTGCGCCCGGCCCGCTGCGCCCCCGCCCCCTGCACTGCTCCCCTGCGCGCGGACCTCCGCGCCCCTGACCCCTGCGCCCCGGCCCTGGGCCACGGCCTGCCCTGCCCGCCGCCGCGCCCCGAGGAGGCGAGGGCGCCCCGCGAGCCCGACCGCGGCTCCCCTCCCGGGCCTTTTTAACTGTGTTTGGCCCTCGGCGGCGGTTCGCCCGCCTGGAGTTTAACTCTGCTCGGAGGTTCAGGTTTTGCCTGGCAGCCCTAAAGGAACGAGGTGGACAGCGTGTCGCCCTCTGCCTGACTCTTCGACCAGACTGCGGGCAGGAGCTTGCTCCCAGCACGGAGCGGACTGCCTCACTGGCCTGGAATCCCAGAAACTAACAGACAGTGGGCATAAGATAAATATTTACGGAGCTGCGCAAGAGCAGGGTTGGAGTGAGCAGCCGAGCCCGTGACTCTGGACTTTTGAGATCTGCTTCCTTTATACGTTCCAGAAAAGCTTAAAAGTACTCCTTGGTTCTGGCCCACTTTTCGGTCTGCCTTTTCAGTAGTAGAGTTGGAGTGCTTTGCTCCACTCCACGCTGGAGGCAAGCCCAGACCTTTTATTTCTTTAAGAGAGAAACAAAACAACGCGCAGGGAGGCAGAGAGGTCTGAGAGCGGTGCAGTAGAACTTCCCTCCGCGCCCTCCCGCGGGAGACCTCGTTGTTTTTGTTTTTTTTCTTGGAAAGCTTGAAAAGCAGAGCCTCCCACCTTCGGGAGGGCGACTGCGGTCTGGCAGCCGTTTGGGGGGGCAGTGACGTCGCAGCCAGGGTTCCGCACAATCCCTCGTGCCCTTTGATCCCTTCTCCGATTGTCCCGGGCCTGTTCCTCTTTCAAAACCTCGGGTGGCCAGGTGCCAGCTCCCGGGGGAAGCCTGACCTCATCCTGCGGCCCTGCCGAGAGACTTTCCAAACCCGTCTCCGTGGCTTACGTGCGCCGAGGTTGTTCTACGTGTCTGTCTTGCTGGCTGTCTGGGCAGTGTCTTTCGTTCCAAATCTGGTCGTTTCGTGTGCAGGGTTCATCCCTGGCTGAAGTGAAGCGAACAGGCCTGCTCGCAGTGCGGCTCGTGTGTGCTCTCTGGCTGATCCAAGCGTGGGTCCAGCCTGAAAGAGCGTGTTGTGCACAGGAGGAAGCTGAGAGTGGGACTTTACCCGAGCGGTTCTTTGGCTCAGATCGCTGCAAAAGCCGTGTGGGAGAGACGATGATGTGTCTTTCAGGCTTTGTCCACAAAGGGACGCTTAGAACAGGAGGACTGTCCGCAGCTTGTGGTCATTTCTGTGACATCACTTTCAGACATAATGCTGCCCTCCCTGGGTGGGTGTGGGTCATTCTGCGGTGTGGGCCTTGCTCCAAAGAAGTCACTGTGAAAGCAGACCTGTACTCTAAACCTACAAAGTAGCGCTTGAATGTAAACAGGGTAACAATGCCTTGTAGCACTAAACTGTTTTATGCTGGATACAGTTACCAGTGGGTTTGCAAGTTCAAGGCAGAAGTCATTGTGGGCTGGGGACTCCGCCTACCAGCTCGATTTCCCTCAGGGAGCCCTTTCCCCAGAGCAGTTTCTTTCCTTCCTTCCTTTCCTTGGGTGTCCTGCATTAGCTTTCGGAAGTTAGTGTTTGAACCTGTAATAAAAAAAGGAAGAGATGGGAGGGAGGTGTGACATTGCCCTGCAGTATCTGTGACATGAATGTTTCCAATTTTCTCCCCAAATGTTGGACAGAACTTTCAATAAAGAAAAAAAAATAGAAATTCTGTAAAATAAGGAACAACACAATTTGAATGCAGAACACCAGGCATGCTTCCGACCAGGGGCTTTTGCATTTGCCCATCCCCTTCGCTGTCCCCGGATGTCATCTGTCTGAGGAGCATCACCCACACGCCCATCTCTCTTCCTGCTTTTGATTTTCTTTGAGCGGAGCCGCTCTTGTACTCAAGCAGTTAAATTCCATGCAGACAGGCACACTAGCAGGATTGTTCTGCACCCTGGCGGTGTCTGGCATCCCACAGGGGTGCAGCCAGCAGCTACTGACTCCGTGAAGAACCGGAGACCACCCCAGAACCCAAGGGTTGGAATGGTGTTCCGCTTTGGCGCTCAATTCTACTACTCTGAGCTTCTTGGTATTTAGGACAGAAACTTAAAGCAGACAAAGATTTGTTAAGTTTGTGCTTCAGTTTGGAGTGAAGAGTTTGAATATACTTTCTTAGCTTTCAAAAAATTAGCTTTTCTTCAGTGGCATAAAAGCATGGGCTCGTGTTAGAATATCTCTGATCTGACTCTTCGTGCTCAAGTCGCTTCCACGCAGGGTGTCTGTGTTTCTCTGTGGCTTCCTCCTGGGTCTTGATTTCCTCATCCATGAGAATAATCGCAGAGCAGTGATCTATACTAACGCGGCAGTGCTGGAGCAGAGTAACATCTAACTGTGTATTTATTTGCTGCTTTGCTGAACCAGATCAATAGGATGTATTGAGTGCTCTCTTTCCTGTCTTGCAAGACTTTCTTGTTTTAAGTTTGAGAAGAGCAAATGTGGCAAGCCGTAACTCTCAGGACTCTTGTGATCTTTTGAAGATAAATGATCTACTTAAAAACATACTATGACTTTTTTCACTATTTTTTAGAGTTTGTGCCATATACGTAGCACCTTATTTAATACCATTTAAGGAAATACACCATTGTCTCTAGTAAGCATCATATCCTAGCGCTGAAAATGCATATAAAATGTGCGCTGGAATATTGCCTGGTTACATGAACATTCTTGTAAAAGGAGATGCTGAGTTCTTTGAAGGAAGAGAGGGATGCTGTTTTAGACGGTTTGGTCTGTGTCCATTCGTGCCAGGATCTGAAGAGATGGCAGAGGGTGGTGGGGAGGGGAGGCCAGTGTTTCAGTGCAGACCTGAGGGATTAGGGGGTGACTCACACAGCTCCATCTTGGTTTCGTTCGCAGAGCGTGGTTCTTCCCCACTTACCTCTGAGTGGGGCTAGGGGAGCCCTTCTTAGTGGCTTGCTGGTGTTGCAGGCAGAGTGCTGATCTTCATGGGGAGGGCTGAGTCAGATTAGAACGCCTCGCACCATAGTCGGTGTGGAGAGGCTGCCGTGCCCCAAGGCGACGGGAATTACACTGGTGTGCATCGCCCGGGTACACACACCCTTTGTGTGTACGTGTGAGCAGTGCGTTTCCAGTGAGCAGGGCCTGGGTGGGGCTCCACGCAGTCCCAGGAATAGCTGAAGCTCTTGAAAGTGCTGACCTCAGCTGGCTTGGCCTTTCCCGCCTCCTCCTAGGAACGGAGATTATCTGTTGCCTTTCACGTCACAGAATTTTATGGTCATCTCAGAAATCCTCCACAAGTATGCTTCCTTTGCCATTTTGATTTAGGTAGGGAACTGTGTCACAGATCTGACATATTATTAATATTGCCCGCGTGCTGACCGGCTTGCTGAAGGTGGCAGCTGTTGGGTCCATCACTGCTCTGCTTAAACCCCCCAGGGTCTGGCAGATGCGCGGGACGTGGAGCGTATACACCTGTCCAGTGAGTATTAATAGAGACGCGGGGCACATTCTGCTACCAGTTGTGAGCAAAACAGCTGCTGGAGGCTAATGCTCTAAACTGACCATGCTGTGCTCATTTTTGGAGCAGAAACGTGTGGGTGAAAGCAAACATCTGACTCTTACACGCCGAGCTCTTGTGGGTACAATGTAACCTTTTTTTCCTTTTAAGCCCTAAACAACCTGAATATCTTTAGGAACCACCTGGCTCAGTATGGACTTTGCATGCTGTTGTCTTCACGCAGGTGAAGCTACAGATCCCATCTTGCTGGGTGAGATTTTGGTAGTCCCGAACGTGTGAAGAGTGGCATAACACTGAAATCTATTTTGAACTCACTCTCTGAATTTTAAAAGTGAGAGTTAAGGCCGTGTAAGCACCTATATTTTTGTGCGTTTGGGAGATGGAGCACTGCTTGGTTTCATGCCTTCCTGATTCACACTTTTATTGTCCTCTTGGTTCTTTACTTCTTTTCGCTTTCATAACTTCTTCCCTTTTCTGCCTCTCTTGGCCATCTGCTCTTCATGGTCCTGGATCTGTGCAGAGGAATTCCCTGGGCAGTGCTGAGCCCCGGGGTCAGCAGGTCCTGATGCTCCCGCCGCTCGGGTCTGCTCCTCTGCTTTCCATCTCTTGGATCTGGGGCTGCCTGAGAAACCTGCATCAGCCTCAAAGATCTCGAGTAACCTTACAAGCCCCACTGACTGCGGTGTCACCCGACGCCTCTCCGGTGTGACTTTTTTTCCTCCTTCAGTGGAGCTCTGCTTTTGTACTTAAAAGCTGTTGCTTACTCCTGATAGAAGAGACACACAGAGGAAGTCCTCAGAGCGTGAACTCCCTGCTTTTCATTAAGAGTTTGTGATGGGCAGTATGGACACATAGAGGGTGACTCCTCCCACTGGCTTCTGCACCTACCCTCTATGCTCTGTATACCCTCTATACTCTCTATACCCTCTATGCACTTCAACAATTATTGGGGACAAGTACACCAACCACTTGAGATACTTTGTAGATGTATTAAATGCCATAAAGGATTATCTTACAGATTTGTAAGTATTTTTTCCAGAGTTATATTCAAAAAAGCGTTCTTCCTCTTTATATTTATGGATCTCTTTGTCCTTTCCTCATCCTTTCTGGAAGGTTTTTATTAAACAGTTCTGGGATACCAACTAACATTTTTTTAACACAGTACTGGTCCTCCTATTATGTTTAATCCAACAAAATATTTACTGCCCTACTTTAAAAGACAATATGCTTCTGCTAAGTTCATTTTGCCTCTTCGTTGACAACGTGGCAAATCTTTAAAGTGGTAATATTTTGGGGGGGGGCACTGGAGACTAATCCCAGAGCTCACACATACGAACAAATTGTGTTCTCTATCACTGAGCTAAACCCGTAACCCCTAAAGTCGCAGTGGTTTT